AATAAATAAATAAATTTATCCAGAGGACCCACTAAGCTGTCTCAGAAATCATCTTTATAGAAAATCTTATTTTCTCCTCCAAGACAGTTTTTGCCAACAATTGCTTTTAAGGTTGCACATGTGAGGCTCCGCGTATGTGTTGTAATCAAGGCCGGAGTAAAAAATGACTAATTGCCATGTAAAATGAACTTAGCTTTATATCTTTTTCCTTATAAACCTAAAATTCTTTCACATTATTTAACTGAACATCAAGATATTCTGTTAAAAATTGGTAGAGATGGGTATAATTATTTCCATTTTAGGAAAATAGAAACTAAGGCATAGGAAGTTTAATGACTAACTCTAAAAGCATATGGTCAGCTAACAAGTCAGGAGAATATCCTTGTCCCCAGTCACAAGGCCACAGGATTATAGAATTAGCTGGAGGACAAATACAAGTTATCTCTGTTGTTCCTGCTATCTTTATGATGTTATCTTCTTAAAGCGACAGGAAGCTCAGGTTCTATAGTAAACAAAGTTTCAAGTTCCCATAGGAAATGTGCATGGGTGCTTTCTTAAATTAAATCTATAATCCTAACTGTAGTTTCTTTGCATAGGTATCTCTTTGTCTCCCTTTACTAGATTACAAGTACCTCTAGGGCATTGTCTCCTTTCACTTTGCATATTAGCATCATATGACACCCAGGCTCACCCACAGAGATTACAATCTGATTGGTTTGGGGAGGTTTCCAGGTATAAGAAATACTTTAAAGGCTCAACAGATGATTCTAATATACAGCCAAACTTGATACTAATGCCAATGCTTTATATATCATAAGAGCGCAATATGATTGTTAAATTGAGTTGAATGTTAAGGTTGATCCTCTGAGGACTAGAAACTATTTTATTTTTGTCGGTGACATCTTATAGAAGCTGTGACTAATCTAGTTCGAAATTGAGGAATAAGTATTAAGGAGTAAATGTGCCTAAATATATTGCTTGGAACTTCACTCTGGAAGTTGGCCAATTCTGGTTCAGATGCAAAGGTATGGGTCAACAGCTCTAGGACTATAGGAGTTGACCTTCATTTTGGGAGTGACAGAATGGTGCCTCTAAGTTAAAAAGGTTATGATAATACTCTTGGAATTGAGGTTTAGCCTGAGGCAGGTATGGAATAAATTAGGTCTTAAAGTGACTGATTTGTGAAAGCCCTAAAAATCTTGGCATAAACTGACCTCATGAATTGGTCTTTTTGTTATTCTGAGCCCTTTCATGGGTTTTAAAATCTCTACAGCCTTCTTGGGGTCCTTTATGTAACTAATAGCCATAAGACAAGCTAGCCACCTTGGCCTATCTTAGCCAAGGTTCCGGCCTGGGTAAAAGCTGGAAAGGGTATGAAGAGGTGTTGGACAGGATGAAACCATAGGCATGTGTGCTCCACAATTTTCACTTTGCTGTGTAATTCCCCATTGTAGATGATGCTGTTTTAGAAACATGCCCTAAGTAGGGCAGAGCAACAACTGCCTTATGCAGGAGGATGCTCAGTATTGAACAAAGATGATGATAATAATAGTCAGGGGTTTCCACTTGGCAAGTATATTCCCCTAGGGAAGTAAAGTACCATAATTTTCCACTTGGGTTTCCACTTGGCAAGTATATTCCCCTAGGGAAGTAAAGTACCATAATTTTCTTCTTAAAGCTAGCCACCCCTGACCCCCACCCCAAGGGTTATAATAATGCTTTTCAATCTACGAGCTTGAAGGGGAGGGTTGTGATTAATGAGAAAAAATTAACAAGTAATTTTAAATGCATCTTGTTACAAAGAATGCTATTGAAAAACTATATTAAAATATCATTTGAGCTTATCTATTACAGATAATTCTTGGATTTCCTTGGGTACCTTTGGTTTAACACAAGTCAAGAACTATTTAATACTTCTTATCAGTAATAATGTTATAATTATACAATTCTCTTCCTGTGTGAGTTTCTGTCAATTATTCTAACAACTAGAACTAGCTTCCCAGGAGAATTTTTCCAGTTAAAGAAAGAAAACGTGCTTTTGAACCCAGAGTTAAAGAGTATGCTCCAATTTAACATTGTTTTAATTAATTTGTCTCCAGGAATTTGAAGTGACAGCTCCCTGTATAATAATAGAAACAGTTGCCAAAAATCTTACCAAAACTCTTTCTACCATGTTTTCTCCAAAAATAAAATCAGAACTGCAGCTTTTGAAAGAATACTTATCTTCATTTGGTTGACATCTAAGGAAAAGAAATAAGCATTTGCTATTTTAAATTGGTAGATAAAGCCATTTTAAACCTTAGCACATGAAATTATCAGATGTTTTAATAGATTTATACAAAAACATCTACGGTTAACTTGTGTTTATCTGAAATTAATGAGAAAGAAGAAAAAATTGAGATAGGTGCTTTCAGGAATATATTTTTGAAGTATTTGACAGCTGTTTCAATATAGGCTGAGATCAGTCCAAACAAGTTCTGTACCCATCACTGTACTAGCTGTGTGATCAACCAGGAGGGCTTCCCAGCCCTTATCTTCTTGCTCTTCCAGCAAAGACTCTCCAATCTCTAATCTCCACTCTCCTCTTCCTCAAGTGGCCAATGCTTTCAGAGACCAGTGGCCTCCAGGGCCAAAGCTAAGTCAATCTATCAGTTATACTTGAGTGTGCATTGGTTTAATTTGTTTTTTTCCTTCTAGAAACTCTTTTTTTTTTTTTAAATGTTAAAAGTGTTTTGCATGACGAGAAACTAAAAAACACGTAGCCCTCTATCTGTAGCTAGATGTACTCCAGAGTCTTCACGGTGTCCCCAGTGTGCACAGCAGGTGAGTGCTTCAGTACCTGCACGGGCACTAATCACGTGAGTTCAGTTATGTCCATGGCTAGTCTTAATCTTCTCTCAGATCAAACATGCCTTCATCACTGATGATACTAGTAAATATTAACTTTCATTTTGCATATTTATACTGCTTTCTTTGTTGTCTATCTAACCTATGCCAATAAATAATAAATAATGACAGAAATAATTTAAAAGAGGGGAAAAAAGAATGCCAGAGAAAGGGGAGAAAGGGATATCTAGCAGCCAGATCATTAATGCCTAACTAAATCAAAATTTAGCTATATCCATTTGAAATGTTCTTATCCAAGTCAATGAGACAATGGAAACAATCCAATATTAATATATTGATATTTAAATATTACTGGCATTTTGAAAAGCATTTTAAACTTGTATTCTTTATAAAATCTTCTTTCAAACATAAATCTTGGAAATCCAGCTCCACAATATCAGAATATTATTTTCCGTGAATGGTTATAATGATAAAAATAAACAAGAATGAAAAGACAGCACAATTTTTTTCCTCATTAACTTACCCTACTGATATAGCACCCAAAACATTCTGATTAGTAGAGAGCTGGGCTGAAATTCTGGCACTTGGTAAATTTTCACTTAGCAAACAGGAGATCCTCTCAGAAATCTGAAAGAAAAGAAATCCATCAAAGAGTTTATTTAAGTTGCTTACTAAAGGAACATCAGGCAAGAAAACAATAATTATAGTTAAATGTACTGAAAATTTACTATCTTCAAGTATTGCCCTAAGCATTATATGTGCATTACCTCATTTATTTCTCACAACAAATCTACATCCTTTGTTCATCTATCGTCCACTTCGTATCGATAAGTAAACTGACCTAACAAGTTTAAATAACTTGGCTAGGCCTGGGGAACCAGGAATGGGGCTGACATTTGAGCCTGGGTCCAACACCAAAGATTGTATACTTAGTCATAATATTCAGAAACCTCACTCTTTTTGTTACTTTTACCTTGTTAACTAAGTGTGTTAATTCTCATTTCTAGACTAATAAATCTATCTTGCAGGACGATTTAATCTTTGGAAACACCCTAAGAGCTTCACCATCACCACCAACCAATGTAAGAGGAAACCATCTCTTCACCTAGAAACTTTCGACTGGTACCTTAATCAATGACTTTGAGGTATGTGTGTATATGTGTGTGTGTGTGTGTGTGTGTGTGTATTTACACACCTGCATTTAATGTATAAAGGAAGGAGCAGACAACTTTAGAGCTGGAAGGAAACCTATAAATGATCCAATCTAGTGTCTCCAGTGTTTTGTGGACACCTCCCTTCCCTCTCCAGAGATTTGCAAAAATGTAAGAAGTTCATGTCTTTAAATATAGATGGGGTCTGTTTCAACTTTAATTTTATATCAACCAATGGAAATAATTTTGAGTATTTCTCCCTTTATAACAGAATTTGAGAGCCGAGAAATATATATCAAGAGAGTATGTGTCATTGGTTAGTAAAAATCAGAATACATGCTCATGACTCAGTCACTCAGAGGATTATCTCTCACCCAAAATGGTAGTTTTTACTCTTACATTGCTTAAGATATTTTTTATTAGGCATATATTGTTTAAATTATACAAAATAAGTGACCATTGATTAATGATAGGATGAGTAAAAATTGTTCTGATTATGCTTTTAAGGAACATAAAAATAATGGTCCTATAAAATTCACCTGGAGATAATTTTCACTAGACCTATAAATTATATTTATTTTGTCAGAATTCTTACATAGCATTTAGTTTTACTAAACAGAAAATTCAATGATGGGCATATCCCATTAGGCTTCGCTAATTAGGAATAAGTTTTATTCATACTCTTAATAAGTTATTCAAGAAGAAATGATTACAAACAATAGTCTGAAAAGTTCTCTTATGCTTAATCATTTAGGAAGGAAATGCAAGAAATATATTACATTTTATTTTTAAAATATGCAATGAAGATTTCAAAATGCCAAAGAGGAAATATTTATCTACTTTTGATATCTACTTTTGTAGTAAATTTTTTAATCTATAATTTATAATACATGCTGTTACAAAATCAAATGCAATATAATAACATTTTAGAAATTAGTCAACACATCATACTTTTTCTTATAAACTTAAAAAAATTAAACAAACATCACTTCTTAAATAGATAAAAGAATTTAAGTAATATGGTGATGATTACTAGATTATATTTAAATGAAGTTTTAATAATATACTGATTTAAAACTTTAAAGCATGTTTTACATAAAAATCACATTATAAACCATGCATAAATGATAAAATGATTTTTAAAATTTACAATAGGTCTCATGAAATCATATCTTACAAAGAAAAAGATTTTAAAATATAAAAATGTTGCAAATGTGACCGACCTAAACTCCCTCACTTCAGTAATAAAGAGAAGGTTGGGTGCTTTTTCCAAGAATGAAAACATAGATAGTGGCAGGGGTAGGATCAGTACCAATCTGATTTTTTTTTTCATTGAATTGATGAAATCACTGGTATTTTTAACACTCTGTGAGTTGCCATCCTTATGTTCAGTATGGAAAACCAAAACAACACTAGGTGATCAATCTTCAATGGTTTAGCTGGAAATAAGTGACTGATGGAATTAAGTCCCAAATTCCAACCTAACGATCTTGTGTCCCATTTCTCTCAAGTGTCTGCTTCTGGAAGAACATAGCTAAAACTATAGTGACAGAATACCCCAAACCCATATGCACATGGCCTGAGCGAAATGAGTATCTCCTTAGAAAGGCCCACTGTGAGTGATTCAGCACCTGCAATGGCTGAAGAGAGAATTTTTAAGAGGCATCCCAAGCCCTCCCAAGTACACCGTGTGGGTAGTTCCCTGCTCCTGTTATCCATGAAGATGGGTTTGGAGTGGATCTCTAGTATGACCTAAACCAGCAAAGCCACACTTGGGTGTCGACCAGCAGGGATGAAGAAAATCCCTGTCACTTCTTTGACTTCTGACTCCCAGCCCCTGCTACTTCATCGCTCCCCCTGTTCCCACATGGGATCAGTGCCCTGGAACAAGACCTCAAGAGTTCCCACTATACCAGACTCAGCTTCACAGCTTCAGAGAGACCACAAGACTCATTCCTGAGAACAACTCTCTGATTTAAGAGAGCACGTTTAATAAAGTCACTGAAGGTTTTTTGCTACCTGGTCCAGGTGTTCCTCCGGCTTGGCAGTTGATTCTGCACCAGTGCAAAGCTCAGAGAGCCCGTAATGCTGAGTGTGAGGCCCACAACAATCTACTAAAAGAAGGATGGGAGATTGAGCTCGGTCCTATCATAGGAAGTTTTCTTACCTTATTTTTTGCTTTCTCTTTAGTCTTGCACTGTTCTAATGCATGGTGTTCAAATGTTTTCCTTACTTTTTCACACCTTTGAGTTCGAGGTGGCTGCAAAGTAGCAGGTCTTAGAACATGTTCAGAATGTTTCACAGGACCTGAAGAGAACAGAATTAAAGGGTCAATATATCTTTAGTGAAATGCTTCTTCCTCCACATTTTTGACAAAATGATGCTTATTTTCTAAAGTCATCATTAATGAGGGGTTAATGTTAACTAACCAAAGTCGAAATATCCAGCAAATTGCCTACTACTTACTTTCAGTGTAGCTTTTACCCCGTAACTATTTATTTTGACCATGGGACTTGGCTTACCAAATATATCCCTTCGTGTTTTGTCACTCAGCCCTACCACCATACCTCCCACATGCATATTCAGATTAAAATATAGATGGTAAAATGTAATTTCTGAGGTGTTTGCAAAAAACTACATACCTTGTTCTGTACCACTCATGTCAACACTCCTTTGCACAAGAGTTGGTGTCATAAAAACATTGTTTTTCTTCACTGTAAGCAAAAATATTTAGAAAATTTTAAATCTGTGTCAATGTGTCAGTTGCTACACGATTTGGATTTGAACAGTCTCATACTGAACTCACCAGTAGATGTCACTGTTGGTACTAACAGCAGGAGGCAGTGCATACAAGAGCACTGGTTCTGCTAAAACAGCGTGAGGGCGAGCTGAGTTTTGCTACGTAATTCTGTCTACTCTTAGAAATGCAAGTGAAAATTAGTTCACTAACAAAATAGGCAGTTTTTACAATCATGAAGTAGAGTACTGAGACAAATTCTGCAGATTATAAAATCAAAATTGGTAATGAACTCTCTGAGTGCGTTAATATATATTTCTTGTAGGATGTTATAAAACTGTTAGCAAATTCTGCTCCTGTTCCCATTCTAATGATACCTGAAGAGAGAAGTAAAGATAATAGGTTGTTTTTATCCTAGGTTATTTTTCTATGCAGTGTGTTAGTGGGGTAAGACTGTGGTGGTGGCACTTGCAAGTATAGAATTAGTATATACTTCAGAGATCACCTCTTGGTTGCAAATTGTAGAAACGGCAACTTTTGAGTGTTTGATTAATGGAGATGAGAAGAGAATAAGAATTGCTTCTTCAGAATATTATAACATATTATAAATGTTGGTGTCAGATTGCTTCTCTAATTCAAAGTTCGATTAAATTGTTTTTATAATCTTTATTATTGAAAACCAATAATCAATGGACCATATAAAACTGTACTATTTTTCTCCATTCCAACACGACCAATATTCTGCACATCATCAAATTAAATGGTGCTTACTTATATGAATGTACCTTTATTCATTCTTTCTTTGTGTGTGTATCTGATTTTAAAAATTAAAAAAATTGAAACGGTTATTAGATAACTTAAAGCCATCTCTTTTTTTTATGCACAAATACAACAAAACAAATCCTCTAGGATTAGGGCCCCTATTTTTGTCTGTAACTTGTCAGCAGGGTTTAGAAGGAGCCTATTCTGTTAGAAAATATCTCTTTTGTATCCAAAAGGTATCTGACATGTTGTTGTTCAGTCATTATAAAGTAGTTTTACTTAACAAAGCATTATAAATTTAAAATAAAAAGAAGTAATGTTTTAATTAGTGAAAATTTAAAAAGGAATCATATTCTTAACTTTAAAATATAAATCTACAGCATAAATTTTAGAATAAGAATCTAAGGCACAGTTGTATATTTTGAATACTATACATATTATAAAACATATAAATGGACAATAATAAGTAAAATAAAGCAAGTTATTTTCTAGGGCTGCCTTATATAACATATTGCTATCATAAACATGAAATCCTAAAAAAAAAATCATCACGTTCAAACTTCCTACCAAAAATAAACAAATACACTCTTTGTATTTGTGCAGTTCATAAGGTATTCTTACATGCACACTTTGCTAAGACCTCTATTTTATTTGCCACAGCATTTTCTAGTAGCTGAGAAAGGAAGATCATCATTTATGAGAATGGATTTTGAAAAGTCAGAATCTCAGGTCTGAGGTTCTAGAAACTCTTTATACCTGGCCCAGAAGGAGGGAAGTTTGGGAGGTCAGTGAAGGATGGCAATCTCATTCACTTCTGAGACAAGCTTAACACTAAAAGCAGATTGCAAACTGAAGTCAATAAGGAAGTGGGTTTTTGTATTTCTTTTGATTTGGATTCTTGCTGTTTCAAAAATTTTCTGTATCACTGATTTAGAAAAAAAAATGTATTTTTATCAATAAAAGTAAAGTATGCCTCTGGTGAGCATTAAGAATGAATTCCCATTCAGTTTAGTAAAGATTTGAGTGCTCACTGCGTGTAAGACACTGTCGGGCATGAAGATGACCTCAAAGAACTGACAGTGGAGGAGACCGACATGTACATGCACAGCTGTATTACAAGGCAGAGGGCAATGCAGTCGATTATAAAAGGATCAGCAGAGTGCTTTGAGTGCAGAAGAAAAGCAATCTAAGTTACTGATTGACTCAGGATACAGTGCTATATGATAAAGTTCTTAGAACAAAATGTTTTTCTAAAAGGCAGATATCTATATATATAAGCAGATGATTACTCAGCGGAAAATAGTAGTTTTCCCTAATTACAAAGCTAATACGTACCTACTGCAGAAACTTTGGAAACACAACAGAATATAAAGTGCTGAGGGGAGGGGTGGGAACAAATCACTACCTAAAATAACTGTTGCTAACAATGTGGCTTATGTCCTTTCAATCTTCTTCCAATGTTGATAAATTCATTTTTAAAATAGTGACTCACTATACAAGCCATTTTATAGTCCGCTGTTTTCATATAACAATATATTATAAACACGATTCAAAGGGGAGACTTTTAAACATTATGCATTTGAAAAGTTTCTTAAAAGTTTCACATTCAGAGTAAACATAACAGTAAATCTTCAGTGGTCAAGGGTATACCTACCTCCTGGAGATAGAGAACCTGTAGTATGCAAAGTAAAAGATGAAGACCGTATGCGCTTTCTTGAAAAACCATTACGTTCTGCAAGAAATTCAATGTGAAGGAGGGTAAAATTGCTTGCAATAACAAATTATCCTCAATCAATGATACAGGGGGATAAGTAGAATTTCCTTTTGTATAATAAATTATCACTTGATAACATGTTAACTCCTGAAGCACAATTTTAAATATTGGGGTTAATAGCTCAGTGATTATAAATTGATAGGCTTATCATTCTAGTATGAAAATATCAGAAATGAGTGGCTTCTGCAGGAAATTTCATTTGTATTCTGAGATCATACAGAGAATGGTTTGGGTACGTTGTGACACAAGCAGTAGAGAATCATGGGATTTTAGAGTTGCTAACATCACTTCTCAGAGAACCACATGTCAAATTTCAAAACAAAAGCCGATCTGCTCCCATGTTTTGTTTTTCTCTTTTCTCAATTTTATTTTAATTTAGAAATATTTTCAAACTTACAGAAAAATTGGAAAAATAGTACAAAGTATTCTCATATACTCTTTACACAGATATACCAGTTAACATTTTGCCTCATTTGATTTATTATTCTCTATCAACACATTTTTCTGAATCATTTCAGATTAAGCCGTGTGCATTATGCCACCTTATACCTAAATATGTCATTTTCTAAGAATAAGAACATCTCTCATATCATCCCAGTAAGATGATCAATTTCAGGAAAATTAACATAACATATAACACTCTTAACTAACCTACCAACCATAATTTTGTCCGTTGACTAATAATGTCCCTTACAGCATTCTTCTCCCCAGTCCTGTATTCAGTCCAAGATCATGTATAACATTTGATTGTCTCAAGTCCTTAGTCAACTCTAACCTGGATTAGTCCTCTGTCTTTGTTTTGAATAATAAAATCCTCGTGTTTTAATAAAATGTTCTTCATTTTGAGTTCTACTGTAGTTTAATCTACATTTTTCTGTTAAAATCTTTATTAATTAAATTTATCGGGGTACCATTGACTAATAACATTATATAAATTTCAGATATTCAACTTTATAATACAACATCTGTACACTCTTATGATGTGTGAGTACATAACACTTTCATGTTTAAACATAAGAAAAACAATTAAGTTTTATGTAGTCTGTGCCATGTGCCAAAATGCTTGTGCCTGCTTATTTTCTTTGGGTAAAGATTGATTTTGAAATACAAGATGTAAACCATACCATGTTCTGCTGCTTCATACACAGTTTCTTCTGCAGGTCTCTGGAAGGAAACAAAGCTGCCAATGAGAGCTGAGCATTTGCTGTTTTTACATCGGATTTTCGCCCTGTCACTTTATAAGAGAATTCTCAAAAGCCAGGTCTGTTCAGTTAGGCCAAGACAAAGCTGCTCACCTTTACTCACTAGGCATGTACTCAAGAAAAAGAAAAGTCTAATAAAGCAGTTTTATATTTCAGTGACTGAAGAATCCCTTGTGGGAACGTGATTAATATGAATATCCTGAAACATCCACTCTCAGGATGCTGAAGCAGTTGGCCTGGGGTGGGGCCTAGGAATCTGATTTCAATAAGGGCTTGGAGGTTGTTTTTCTTTAGTAAGTCAATTTTGTGAGTAGTAGGATAAATTACTTGCATAAACACGAATAACAAGAAAATACTAATTAAGGTAAAGTGAGAATGCTGCTTATCATTTGTCTTTCAAAGCAGGCGATTTCAGTATGATGTTGAAAAAAGCAGACAGGGTCCTTAAGATCCCTTTTAAAATAAAATATTGCAGTTTGCAATTTATTTTATACCCAATTTTATGCCGGGTCGGTGGTGGAGACCCATGAGGAGCCTTAGCCCTCCTAATCTCTTTCAGTCCCGCCCCTTTCCAAGTCACTCCGAAAAACACATAATTTTAATAAAAATGGCATAGCTTTAAGACAAGGCCACTGGCTTCCCATTTCAGCCAAACAAACTACTGTCAGTAAATCTCTACTATATAAATATTCTGGAGACATTACTCTGCTAAGTAAAGAAAAAAGTAAACTTACTCAGCAGTGATATCATTTAGAATAGCTAGCTTCTTGAAACAGAATTTTCTTTGTTGAAGTAAAAACCAAAAAAAAGAAAAGTAGCTTGAACTTACCTTAAAGGTTTCTCCTCTTTTTTCAAAAACAAATATTGGTTGAGCAATGACAGATTTTTCTGTAAACAACAACAACAACAACAAACAAAATGGGTAAGAAATGAAATCACATTCTGACATTTATAACATGATCTAAAAATATTTAAAGATTTTTTTGTTTTGTATTTTTCCCTGCCTTTAGTTAAAATCCAAACTGTTCTATATGGATTCTATAAATTGCATATTTACAAATGACTTTAACAGTTAATTACAGAAATAACTACTTGGGGAAAGTGGTAGTAATATATTTCCATAAATAGAGATCATCCCATTAAAAGAACACACTTTGTGTTTAAGGAAAATGAAATGTACCTACCTGCCTTTAGAATCTCATCAGGACATCTTTAATTTTAGAATAAAAAGTTTCAAAGCGTGAAAAATCTCATCTGAGAATAAAACTTCTACTTGGATCCGATCTCAAGGTATAAATGGTATAGATGTATTGTATTCTGTGCTTAAAAACTGTCCAGAAATAGTTTATATTTCCTTGATGAGAGTAGTTATATACTAAGCTATGTTTTCAATATTTAGACTAAGAATCAGTCTTAGTGTTATAAAGTAGCTAAAGTTTGTCTTCAGCCCTGCCGGCCTTATTAATCTTTTATATTTTCTTATCTCAGGTAGGACAATAGAGAGAAACTCATTCACTCTAGGGTACAAATAAGTGATAACAGCTTTAAATATTGGCATTCCATGATTCTTAGGGAAAATTTTATAGTTCTTAAGAGCTTGGGCTCTGGAGTTAGGTAGGTATGTTTGCAAATATGAGTTTCACCACTAATTGGCTTTATACTTTAGGAAACCTAATATGCCTGCACATAGTCTCTTCATCTGAAAAAGAAAAGATTAGAACAATACTTACCTCACAAAGTTTATGTGAAGATTAAAGGGATTTTTAGACCCAATTACTTAAATTATAATAAAATGAACCCCCAAAAATGCCTTGTTAAATATGTGGCATGCCACAAATCTTCATTCCAAAACTCATAACTGACATTGCTAAATTATAACAATACTTTCTTGATGAGCCCAAATATGACCTCAGAACTTCTCTCATTATAGGTTTCCAGTAGCCATTACCAATACTTTTCATCCTTGCATACAAGCTGAGATAATTTGCCATCCCTAGACTAAAAAAAAAAAAGAAAAGAAAAAAAAAATACTAAACCTTTAGCTGAGGAATTTCAAGGAACTATAGAACAATTACATCTTCTATATGCCAGGAAGGGGTTCTCCAAAATCTTATTCCATAAAAGAATGTCATAAACTCTGCCAGACCACCCTTTGCTAAGCTCCTGGGGCCATGCGAACTTGAGTACCTTCTTTTAGTCCAGTGAGGCTAACTGTTCACTTTTTATGCAAGTGCTTACTGCACTGTCTGCCCTTGGAGCCAAGTGAGCCCCAGCAGAAAATGCTCAATAACATATTGGCAATCCCATCCATATTAAACTGTAGCTCAATTCTTTGTTCTATCTTGAATAAGCTCCTTTTCCAGCAACTACATTAGATTTAAGAAATGAGATCTCTTTCCTTTGAAGGGAAAGAAAAAACATTCAGGGAATACTTATGAGTTAGAATAATAAATGGGCCTCTTATGAACTGGATTTAGGATAGTCATTCTTAAAATATCATGAGTTGACCTAACCCTAGACAAATGCTATGATCTTCCCTCTATTAAAACATTCAGCTAAACATGGGCAAAAGCAATTTCCAATGGCAGCATTAAGGAGGAAATTACAAAGGATTACTTGCAGCTTGGAGGGCATATGGTAAAGTAGGAAGGCCATTTATATTCATTAATTCAACAAATATTGATTAAACATCTTTTTTGTGTGTGCCAGCCACTGTGCTGTGATCTAGGTATACTTTGTCTGATTGAAGGTAGATTATTAGCCTCAGTGCAGCCACCTTCTCTCCCTGACACTGTCCAGCACATTAGTCAGAAAGCAGATAATCTCCATACCTCTAGGTTCTCTCCCCCTCGCCCAAGCAATTCTCTTGGCTCCAAAGACAGAGCCAAAATAAGCATTTATCAAGCCACGGGGTCCATATCAGTTTTCTTTCCTGATCCAGTAAAAAAAATTGAAAATAAAAGCAAGGTCCTTGAAATTATGTATTTTTAAATGTATCCTTTATTCTCTCTAATATATTTATTAATTAATCAATTTATTCAACAAATATGTACTGAGGGGTGATTACGTATGCGACACTTTGTAAGGCAACAGAGAGAAGGCTTGTGGTACAAGAAGATGAGGCTGGAACTTTTCAAAGCCTTGTGGGTTGTGCCAAAGAGTTTTGTTTTTATTCCAAGAAAAAATGAGAAACCAATAAGAGATTTACAGCAGTAGAGTCATGACTCTGATTTGCATTTTATTTTTGAAGATCACTCTGCCTGTTGTGTAGAAAACAGATTAGAGGAGGGAGGGACTGCGACAGAGGATGTAATTACGAGGCTAGTCTAGTAGACGAGCCTAGTCTAGAACAGAGTCGACTAGGTTGTTCTTTACTTCTCTGTTAACCTTGCATCTATAATTTTTGAGGCAAATGAAATACTTAAAAGTTTAAAATATAGTCTTTTGTTAAAAGGAATGCAGGCATGGGGATGGGGAGGAGAAACTTAAAAATGAAGATTAATTTTGTCAGTTTCAAGGCTCATGTAGCATTTAATAAATCCTGATATCCATTGTTGTTTTCCAAAATACTTTACTAAGAGAAGACATTCATTCATCCCACAAATATTATTAAATACCTGTTATATACAAGAAAGGGCACAAAGTATTGTTAATATAATTAAATCTCTTAGTTCACCTGTAATTCTGCTCCACCATGGAGGTACACTATAGGCCAAAGGCTTTTATTCATTGTCTTGTCTAATTTAATTTTAATCTCTTTGTGGGTTAAATGTGGTTTCTATCATATTTACAGATACTTCCTTACAGTGAGGAAACTAAGGCTCTAAGTGACTTGCTTAAAATCACGTCACTAGTAAGTGGCAAAGCCTTTAACTAAACCCAGCCTCCCTCCTACGAAATTATTGATCTTAACTCACACCTGTCATGCTGACATATATCATATAAACTTAACCTATAAAATGTCATGTTCTAAATGTACAATATGTATAATTCAGCGCTTTGCCGAGAAAAAGGCAGTATAAAAATAGTGGCACTTATATTTTTGCAACTTTGTCAAAATTGATTGACATACATATGTACTTCTCCCTCCTGAATCAGAAATCACAATGAAATACTAATAAAGAGTTGGGTTTTTGGGAGGGGAGTTAGTGGGGGTGGAGGTAGGGAAGTCATTGCAAAGACAAAGAAAACAAGAGAAATAATAGCAACAAAATTTTAGAAGCTGGAAAGTGAAAGGATAAGTGGTAACTAACTGACTTAGACCAGGAAACCTGGACCTTAAGCCATCAGTGGGGATACTCAAAAGCAATCCGGTTTACCTCACAACAGAACCACCGAAAGTCCAGGATTCGGTATCACTAAGTACTTCTGGAAGAAGAGATGAAGTTTGGCTGAAATCAAGAAGAACTTTTATCTCTTCAGCAACAAAGCAATAGTCCTTCTCCTACCCCAACAGAAGACTGGAGGATTATTCCCAGGAAAAGATGAAACATCAGACACCATTTAACATGGAGGTTCCATAATAAAAAGAGGAGGATTAGGTGAAAACGTACATACTAGATTAGTTTCCGACTGTTGCTATAACAAATTACCACAAGCTTAGTGGTTTAAAACAATACAAATTGATTTCCTTACAATTCTGGAGGTCAGAAGTCTAAAATGGGCCAGCAGAGCTTGTGTTTCTTCTCGAGGCTCGGGAGAATCCATTTCCTGGCCTTTTCCAGCTTCTAGGGGCTGGCCTCATTCCTTGGCCTGTGGCCCCACATCATTCCCGCCTCTTCTGCTGTCACATCTCCTCCTCTGACTCTGACACTCCCGCCTCCTTCTTTGTCTTATCTTTGTGATTGCATTGGGCTCACCTGAATAATCCAGGTTAATCTCTCCACTTCAAGATCATTAACTTAATCACGTCTGCAAGGTTTCTTTTGCCATGTAAGGGTACATAGTCACAGGTCCCGGGCATTAGGATACAGAAATCTTTAGAGAGCCATCATTCTAGCTACCATGCATGCAAAGTGTTGGGTTCCTTAGCTCCCCTTCTACTCAGTTCACAGAATGCTGGCAGGGGAGTATATTTCCTCCAGGCAGGAAATTAGAAGATTTTTCTCTGGAGAGTCCAACCAACTCAAAAGAAAAGATCTAAAGACATTGACAAAGGAATTCTCCAATGAGTGGTCAAGCCAGATGATGATTCCCCAGTTTATGTACACATAGCTACCAATCAGCTTTTAATGAGTTCCCCTTTCTTAAATATAAGCAAGCCATCGAAGATCACCAGACACGAAACACAGGCATTAAATGAGTAAACAGGAGAAGAGTAAATTGGATGAAAAAGACCACAAAGGTGCATTCTCCATAAAGATGAAACATCCATGAAGCAAAAGCAGAATTCTGTTTTTTTTTAAAAAGAACTGCAGAACAAAAATAAGCTTTTAGAAATTAGACTTTAAAATACAATAGTAGAATCAAAAGAATCAATACTGATTTTAAAAAATCAACAGAAGATTTAGAAAATAAAGTCGAGTAAGTAGACTAGAAAGTGGAGCAAAAGAGCAGATATGGGAAATATGAGAAAAATGTAAGAAAATCTAGATGATCAGTCCAAGAATCACTTCAACACCTGACTAATAGGAGCGCTAGAAAGACAGAATACAGAAAACAGGGAGGATGAAATGATCAACAAATAGATGATTAAAATTTTCCCAAATTAAAGGATAGAAATTTCCAGATTGAAAGAGCCCATCCAATACTCAGGACCATGTATAAAAATAGACCCCTGCCAGGACACATCATGAAATCTGAGAACACTGCAGACAAAGAAAAGGTCCTAAGAGCATCACGAAGGGAGTAAAAATTTCATATACTAAGGGTCACGTATCAACATGTAC